ATGCCTAGGCCTCTTTTATAGTCCTCCAGCTCCTGCTAATCATGGGAGTCTCCATTGGTGATGACCATGTATCTTTAATGCCTTGCACAAGCCTTTCCATTAGGGAATCCTCCCTCCTGTATTGACCTAGGTTAAACAGCCTATGTGTCAAGGACATATGGGTAGTTATATAGCTCAGCTGTGAAGCTTCTAAATGACTTAAACTGACATTATTTGCTTCCATGTCCTACACCTTCATGAGCCATGTGGTGAGGGGCTTTTTAATTGCTTGTTTGAAAGTTTTTCCTGGTTTCAACAGCTCCATTGTGGAGTATTTCTCTGAGCTACAGTACTGTTAACTCTTTTTCCTTTATACATCAAAGGTTGTTGAATCTGAGAGGCAGCTTTATCTACTATAATTTTTAGCTTGTTTCTTTTCTCATTACTATCTGTCTTTTTTCCTGGGTCCTTTGACTCCTGGTCCCCTAACCTTAGGCAAGTTAAAAATCTCCTGTTTTTTCTCTCTCTCAAGCTCTCAGGCTGAGACTGAATTTGCAGTAACCACTTTAGGCTTTTCAGCCTCCCTTGAGGCTGTTTCCTTAGAAGTGGACAAATCCTCAATTTTGCACAAAAGTAGCCAGACTACCTCTCTGTGTTCCCCTTGCACTCAAGACTTGTAAAATATTTTTCTAAGCTCTCTATAGTCTTAACGAGTTTTCAGACACACATGGAAGCAGAACCCATTTTTCAAGCAACTGAGCTATTTTCCCACATTATAGGATGCTTGTGGACCAGGAATTTTCCCCTTTGAGTCCATCCAAATCTGCATGGCCCACATCATTTAGTTACATCTTTTATAATCTATTGTATAACGCATGTGATTGGCGCTAACCCCGTTAAGCATATGGGGTTTGGCCATCCTCTCCCCTGGGTTCCTGCCAGCTACTCCTAGATGGGTCCTGTTATCTTACAGGATGCCTTGTGGAGCCCATTTCTGCCCTTCTGATTTGAGAATCTGAACCCAGCTTCCTTTCCTTCAGCTCACCAGTCGCTGCTGATACCTACCGCAATGCTTTCCAAGGCCACGCCCCCATGTTTTTCCTGGACTCCTGCAGTTCATCTAGCCAGCCACACAATGACACTTGTTTCAACAAGTTTTCCCCTCCCCCTTCTTGAGAGAATCGACCTACACCCTCTGAGGCCCCAGGGATGACAGACCAACATAAGACATTCTATTTGGATTTTGCATAGTTTATATGACAGTTGGGAGGGACTGACATACAAAGACATGGATTTGTGTAAGTTTTTCCTTTTCCATATTTGAAATGCATGCACCATCCACCTCCTGCCCTCGGTCTCTCCTCACTTGCCAGTTCACCCATGCTCAGTATGGCGCTGGACAACCCCTTTCTCCCAGTGTGCTTTTTGTTGCCCACACTCATCCTGGATCAACTCCAGATTTTTGAAGGAGCCTTCGGGCTACACCAGCCATGCCCCTCTAGGGCATATACCCCAAAGTTTCTCTATCTTACAACTGCAGAGATACCTGTTCATCCATGTTTACTGCTGCTCTGTTCACAATAATCAGAAAATGAAAACAAACTAGCTGTCCAATCAACTGATGAATTAATAATGAGGGTATGGTACGTTTACATGATGGAATATTCTTTAACTGTTAAGACAACTAATATTATGAAATTTGTATGTAAATTGATGGAACTGGGAAAAGTCATCCTGAGTGAAGCATCCCAGAACCAGAAAGACAAATATCACATAATCTCTTTTCTTAGGATTCAGGAAATTAGTAAACAGCCATATCAGGGGATAAGGGGAGTTATTAAGAGGTATGTAGAATGTAGTGATAAAAAGTAGGAAAGGGACATAATGTAATAGGAAGGATTAAATGCTATAGTATAGGTCTGGGGATGAGCACTTTCCTAGCATGCATAAAGTCCTGGGTTCAATTCCCAGCCCCACATCAACCAAGTGTGGTGTGGGATACAAACAATCCCAGGAATCAGAAGTTAGAAGGAGAATAAGGAGAAATTCAAGGTCATCTTAGGCTATATAGCAAATATAATGCCATCCTGACTTCCATGAAGCCATCTCAACAAAGAAAGGAATAATTTGTGCAGAATTAAGTACACAGCTTACCCAAGGAAGCTTTTACTGACATATTTATTGATATAATTTTCTATTTTTTGAAAACTTCATATATGAAGATGTTATTTCCATCTCACTGCCCCTCCCAATCCTCTCAGCAACTCCAACCATGTCCCTCATTCACACTCAATTTCTTTGCTTCTTTGATTATTCTTGTTCTATATACATACATATTTATTTGTGTATATATCTATATTATATAGTATAATGTACTGGGTCCACTTAGTGGTGTCCATGTGTACATGTTTTTAGGGCCAACCAATTAGTATGAGACAACCTATTAGGGAAATTGTTCCTGTAGAAAACTGATTCTCCCTCCCTCAGCAGCCATTTACTGTAACTCTTCATCTAGAGGTGGGACTCTGTGAAAATCTCTCATCCACATTTTCATGTGAACTTGCTTTGTCATTATGCAGATCTTGTTAGACTACTATACTGTGGTTATTTCAGTGGTGTCTCATGCCTATCATGTCTAGAATGCATTATCTAGAGTAGACACTTTGCTCCTAAGGTATTTTATTCTAAGGCTCTTAAAATCTTTTCTCCCCCTTTTTGCAATTTTTCCAAAGAGATATTTGTAGATGTTGCATTGCAGATGTGTCAGTTAAGGCTGGGTAATTCACAGTCACTTATGATCTCCTTTTGGACCTTTAATAGTTCTTTTCTGTTGCAAAAAGACATTTCTTTGATGACTGAATTACTCATTTATTTACTAAAATCTTTATTTATTATTTCTATTGTATGTGTATGGATCTATGTGATATATGTGTGCACGTCTGTGTGAGTACAATTGTACAAGTGCCATTCTATGCATGTGATGGTGAGAGGGACAGTCACAGATGTCAGTCCTCACCTCCTACCTTCTTTGAGACAGGCTCTCTCTGTTTCCTGGAATGTAAGCTAGGAGACCTATTAAGTGAGCTTTGGGCAATTCTCAGGCCTCTTCCTCAGTGTTCAACCACATTTATATCCCCATTTATATCCTCATTTATATCCTTGCCTATAAAATATGTAGCTTAGATAACAGTTATTTAAAACAACTTTAAATCTCATCCCTTGCTCCATTATTCAGTGTACTTAATAGTGTGTCTTACATCAATCAATACATAATACTAATAAAATACATGGTCCATAAGTAAAATAATCCAAAGTAGTCCTTTTTAGATTCCTAACAATTGAAACGATCCAGTACGTGCATAAAAAGAAAAATATCTCCCATGTGATTGGCAGCCTCTTTGAAAGTCAGAAGTGATTGTGCGGAAAGAACTGATCAGTGCTCACCTGAGAATGAGTTAATCATCTCTGGTGATTTGATTTCACACTTGAATCCAGAGCCTCTTCTGAGACTGATCCTCAGTGAAAAACAGTGACATGGGAGACAGCTCAGTAGCTATAAAATCATAACAACTTTGACTATGTTACTCTGTAATGAATTCTAATTTCAAGAGGTAAGATTTGGGGTCTGTGGTAAAAGAAAATACTTTATTCACTAAAATTGTATTTATATTTTTTAAAAAATCATATCTGTTTGAATAAGTCATAGTTGGGAAGGAAGCCAGTAGGAATCATGCTGTCATCCAACAAGAGATAAAAAGGAACTTTTGTGGAATCAACTGTTCCTATAGTTAAATTCTTCTGAATAATCAGGCATAAAACTAAGTTTTCAAATATTCTTTTTTAATTAGCCCTCAAACAAGACAAAATCTCAATATGGTCTTCAAAGTATATGAATTTAGCAATGGGGTGAAAATGCTAATAAATTCACTACGTTGTAGTGAGGTGATGTCTTCTTGTCAGGAAATATCTTTTGGAAAGTCCTGCTTTGTTCTTTGAATAAAGGTTTTATCATCACAGCATCCAGACACTGTGGACTAAATGAGACTATACAGCCAAAATTCTCAACAGTTGGAGTCATCCTCCATCTAGCAGACAAACTTCACCAAACATCTTAAATTTTTTGCTGAATATTTATTCATAGTGTACTCTTTTTGAAAATCAAACTATTTCATTTTGTCATGCTTCTGTTAGAAAACACATTTAAGTTAGGAAAGGATTCAGTCTAAATAAATAAACACTAAAATAATGTTCTGAACAATACCCTCATCTCAATGATAATATTTTGCTATTTCAAAGTAACAGTGGTTTAATTAGAAATATTTAAAATATTTAATATACTTATAGTAGCTAATTCCCTTATAATTCTATTTTTGGTTACTTTTAATTTCCATGGGATCTTATCTTCACTGTAATGCTTCATGTATGGTATACTTACTAAGAATAGAGTCTGCTCAACATGCCTGTATATATGTCTAGTTCTAGCACCTTTTATGTAGACTTAATTTACATATTATTTTCAAATTAATTTTTCTCACCTGTAAATTGGAACTAATAACTGTATTCTATGGAAGTGACTATAACACTTTGCATAAATTTTGAATCTCCAGCTAGGGATTTAGTAAGCATTCCTTGACAGTTATCAAATGTTTACATCATTACATAATCCCATGTTTATTTATTCTGATACTATGTTGCATTATTAAGTACTTTGCTACTTTCATGAGTCTCATATTTTAAAACTTATAGATTAAAGAAAGTAGTATTTATAATATAACATATAAATGTAAAGAAAATACATACATGCAGCTAATTTCTAGCATTCCTGTTATGAAATTTTAAGTCATGCTTCTTGTAAACCAATATATGAAAAATGATAGTTTGGAGGAAAATCTCAATTGTTACTCCATATTTTCCTTTCATTTTTTATTGTTAACATATATTTTGATGAAAACAAAACTACATATTTATAATTCCTTAATAAGCTCATCACAGCTGTTTTGAGGAAATGTCTACACTGTCCCATGGATTTCCTTGTGGATGGGAACCACACAGCAGTGACACAGTTCATCTTACTTGGTTTAACAAATGACCCAGTCCTTCGAGTCATCCTCTTCATCATCATCATGTGCATCTACCTGGTGACCATGTTTGGAAACCTCAGCACAATCCTGCTAATCAGAATCTCTCCTCAGCTCCATCACCCCATGTACTTTTTACTGAGCCACTTGGCTTCTACTGACATTGGCTACTCATCCTCTGTCACACCCAATATGCTAGTTCACTTCCTGGTGGAGAGAAAAACTATCTCCTATCTTGGTTGTGCTATCCAGCTTGGCTCAGGTGCTTTCTTTGGCGGAATTGAAGTCTGTGTTCAACTGCTTATAGGATCTTACACATGTGGTTTTCTTAATGCTTCCTCCTGTACTCTTTTCTTCTTTTCTTCTAACTTCTGTGGACCAAACAGAATCAATCATTTTTTCTGTGATTTGACCCCTTTAGTTGAACTCTCCTGTTCAGATGTCAGGATCCCCACAGCTATTACTACATTTTATTTTGGGACTATAGGTGTGATCACATTGTTAGTCATAGGTACCTCCTATACCTACATCCTCATCACCATCCTGAAGATGCCCTCTACTGAGGGTCGCCATAAGGCCTTCTCCACCTGCACCTCCCACCTCACTGCAGTCACTTTGTACTATGGGACCACCACATTCATTTATGTGATGCCCAAGTCCAGTTACTCCACCGACCAGAATAAGGTGGTGTCTGTGTTCTACACTGTGTTGATCCCCATGTTGAACCCTCTCATCTACAGTCTGAAAAATAATGAGATTAAGGGAGCTCTGAAGAGGCAACTTGGTAAGAAAATATTTTCTGAGAGATGTCTTTTGTAGGGTTTGATATAGTAATGGTATTCTTTAGACATTATTTAAAGGATTGTCTATGCTTGCAGTATATATTCTGATACATATTTAGGAAAGTTTGGAGCTTTCTATTCATTTTAATGGTGTATATTCTGAGACCAAGTCTCAAAGTAGGATAGGTACATAGAGTGTTATATTTAACACATTTCATGTGAAACTGTGAATGGATGTGTGTTTTCATTAAAAAATCCACAGAATTCAGTAAAACAGCAAATGGCCATGTTCTAGGGAGGCCTCCTGGTAAGGGTGATAGTATTCAAGATACATATGGGGGAAGGTGAGAAATGGAGTATGAGGGCTAAATTAGGGAGGGAATTGCAGAGCAAAGGAGGAAGGAAGTATGGACAGAGATAACTAACATTAAAGTGTTCAGGAACAATTCATATGAAAACATTCACTACAGAAGCTCCTTAAATATGTGCATATACATAATAAGAGGAGATTAGAAAAGAATTGCTCTATAACAGAGGGACACACCCTTACTAGAAACCATAGGCATGCAAAGAAAAGGGCCAATGCTGGGAATTGAGTATCCTTTTAAAATGTTGACCAGACGTTCTATGGCCCCTCAAACAGCACTGGATTTTGCCCCTGCACTTGATTACCACAAGAAATTCATGGAAATAAATGCCCTCTTAAGACACTGCATATATGAATTGTGTAACAAACTAGGAGAAATCAAGCTAGTGCTGACTTCAAATCTCCATTTCTACTGAGTAATTTTCATAATCCTGGGAGGTGCTAAGCATCTACCAAAAAAAATTGGGGTGATCACTGACTTTGCCCACATGAGTATCTTGTGAGCTACATCATCAACTTTCCTAGCAAAATATGTCCATAGGTGCAATGGTTACACAATATTTTATGGACGGGACCAACTACTTTGTGATCAGATTTGAGGTCCATCTACTTCACAAGATGGTGTCAAACTGACACTGAGACCAGAACTAAGAACATGTGGCCAGGCAGTTCACTGGCCACAGGAGAGACCCTACTAATAACATTTTGCTTCATGGACATAGTATTAAACCAGCTCCTAATAACTTATTGCTAGGGGCATCGACTTGCATTTTTCCACTCTTAACAGAGAAGCTTCCTCATGTAGCAAATGGTGATTAACCCAAGAGATACAACTGTCCAATGAGCAGAGAATAAGAACCTGCATTGTGCTTATCCTGAATAGACTTCTATATCAAATGTCTTTCTCTCAAGGCTCAGGGATATTTGTGAAATTGGGACAGAAATGTTCTAAGATCCATAAATGATGGATGACCACAAGGAAACAGAGTTATCCAGACTGCTTGTCAGTTATTTTTATGAACTCACAGAACAGCATTCCACATAAGCTCAAGTTAGATGAACATCAACATAGAAGTGGAGAAGTTGATGAGAAACCTCAACCCTACTGAGAAAATATTGGGAACTGACAGATGCTAGGAGAGAAGAGTCAGTCTTCTTTAAGGGCCTAACACTACATAAGTCAGCCAGGCTCTAGTGGAT